CGATGTTTGTTGTGCTGTTAGCAGAAGTTTGTATGTGTATTACTCCTTGGGCCAGATTCTGATCCTATTTATGTAGCTGTAAAACTGCTCTGTTGTTCCATCTGTGTTAGGGAAGTTCCAGCCTCTCTGGTTGTTTTTAGGATTTGGTTCTGCTTGGCTTTTTGGTTTGTTTTCTCCTTCCTTTAACCACTTTCCTTGCTGAGAGGGGAGAACTCCATGGGAAGTGATCCAGCAAAGTTTTAAATAACCTTTTAGTGTGGGTTTGGTTTTGGTTTTGTTTTTTTTTTTTTTTTTTAACTCTTGCTCAAACTTTTAAATATGTGAATTGTCTCTGTGAATTCTGAGTGCCTCTGAAACCTGCCAGCCAAGCCTAAATCTTGCAGGAGGTGTGGCCACATTTGTGTTCTCAGAGCTCTCTGGCACAGACACCTGGTACACCTGTGTCTCCTGCTAGTTTCAGTACTGTCATAACTTCACCCCTCATGCCTGTTTCTCTGGTACCTCCTGTTTTTCCTAAGGTTATCTTCTAAAAGTAGAATCTGTTACAGATTTTCACTCCCCCACACCCACCTTGAGGACAGTAATTACCAATGAGATGGTTTTAATTATGCTGAAAGAAGGAGGGTGATGCATTCAGCTCTGCTCTTTGAGGCATTTTTTTTCTGGCAGGGAAAAAATTGCACAAAAACAATGCTTAGTAATTTCCTTATGTGACAAATATAAAGTGAGTAGCTTTTGAAATACTAAAGCTTGAGTATTTAAACATTTGATAAATCATGGGTTAACTGAAGAATAAAATTATGATGTTTTGGCACCAGCAGAATTCAATGCAAAGGTCTCAATCTGAATAGAAAATATCTTAATTCCCTTAATTTTTTTAAACTGGTAGATAACTGTGGTATCTGGCATTCAGCTGTCCAGAAACCAAAGCCATGCTCAACCCAAGTGAGCAGGGATGCTTTGGATGATGCAGTTATCTGTCAGCAGCCAGAAATTAAAACATTCATAAGACAGAAAAACACTTCTCTAAAATGAAAAAAAAAAACCTGAATGAAAGCATATTAGTGTTTGAGTGGATGATGCTGACTTTAATAATAAACAATAATAATTAACAACAAGCTCTCCAGCCCAGAGCTCATTGTCATAGACACCAAGAGAAGCAGAAGGGAAGCTGTCTCTATGGGCTGCATGATGGAGCTGGTGAGCAGTGCTGTGATAGTAGGGTGCTCTGTGTGTGCTAATTGCCTGCAGATAGAAATGCTGTGCAGAGGAATCACTGCTGGCACACTGACACAGGCTGCCAAACTGAACTCTTTGGTGGAAGGATAAGAATCTACTACAGCTCTTTAAAATCACCCTCATTGTGATCACCTCATGATCAAACATTACTTTCTCCACTGTGAGTAAAAGCATAGCACATTTCACAGATCATCCCTTAAAATAAAACCAGATTGGTGCATAAGAGACCAAGTCAGCACAAGCATGCACTGTGCTGTACAAGTAGCACTGTACATTCTTAGGCAAGAGTGTGCTGCTACACAGAGCTCAGAATGAAATGGGAACAGGGATGGTGCTTCAGGTTTTACAGCCACCTCTGTGCTCGACTTTGACAATTATTTATTACCACTAATATTGTGCTTTGTAAACTTATATAGTGCTTTATGAAGTAAGACATGTTTCCTATTTTAAAGATCTTATAATCTTGTGGGCTGATAAGGGGTGCAGATTATCCCTTGGATGTTCATAAATAGCATTAGCACTAAGAGTTTTATTAGCACTGGGTCCTTTCAAGCCTGTGGCTCTTTCTTTTTCTTAACAACACTTTCCTATTCAGGTGCTGAAATAAGGATTTCTACAGCATGATGTTCCAGGCTGGAATAATGTGGGCATTCTTTGGTTTTGCTTGTAGTGAAAGAGAAAACCCAAGCAGAGTCCCAGCACAGTGGCTGTAGCTCTGCATGGCTTTAATCCACAGCCTTTGCTCGGCTCTCTGAGACTGCAGATCTGGAGTTTGGGGGATGGCAGCAGAGAGCAGGCTCGGGAGGTTTGTGTGTGTGTGTGTGTGCTTGCGCGTGTTTTAAATAAACAAACAATGCAACAGCAACTTCAACAAATTGTGAGCAGTGCTAATTTGTTATAGGGCTGTCTTGCCTTCTGGCAGTGTTGATTTAGGAGAAGCTGAGCAGACTGGAATGGATGCAGGGAGCTGCCAGTTCCCTTGCTCTGTATATGGTCCAGCATAAAATACTTTTAAGGGTCCTGTCCCGAGGAGCTTTCAGATTACAGGATAAAGCACATACATAGGCTGTCAATCCCCTTTTCAAAACCAAATCTTAGGCAAAAGTACCTTTCCCCCTGCTTTGCTCCACCCCTTCTACTTTCTTAAAATGAAGAGAAGTTTGAAGTCTTAATTCATGACAAAAGGCTATAATTTGTGTACTTTGAGGACTGCCAGGAAATCCTTGGCCTTGACAAGAATAGTGTGCAGGGAAGGAAAGGAGGCAGATCCTGTGCTTTGGACTGTAGCAAAGTTTTCAGCACCCCATGACCTTGCAGGGCTGCCTTTCATAACGTGCCTGGGGCTGTAATCCCCCAGGCTGAGAAGCTGTCTGTCAGGGAGGGCTGGCCAAATGTGCCCCAGGTCCTGCAGGGCTGCAGGACAAACCAGCAGGATGGCAGCCTTGCTGGGAAAAGGGGGATTTTGGAAACATACATAGAGTGACCTCCCTGCAGTCTGTGAGCTGAGTTTAAATAATGCTTGAAGTCTCAAGTGAAGAAGACAGAGGAATAAAACAGTCAAAATAAGAAGTAGGGGTTGAGGAAAAGCAGACAAAGAAATTAAGAATTTTGAAAGTGAGTAAACTCTGCTTTCCCATTAGGTCATTTGGATGCAATACAGGCATTTTGTGGAACTTTGAGTCTATTAGGCCTTCTGCTTTTACAAGCAATAGTGGCTTTCTGGCCTTTTCTCATTTGCGAGGCTCAGATGTGCTGAGACTTCTTGGTGGCTGCAGAGAATCAAGTACAAAGGATTCAGGGTGATGAGTTAAGCATCTGACTTGGAGGGATGTTTGGTAGCCAGTACAGTCCTAATGCTGCTGGGACCAATTCTTAGAGTGGCTTGCTTGAAAGACTTCAGCAAAGTAAAACTTAGAAAGATTTCTTTGCTAAGTACAGGCCTGTGTATGGTCAGTTTTGGGGGAAAAGCAAAGAAAAAAGAATGTGGCTAAGTGCTAAAAGTGCTATTTTTAAGGTATCATTCATATTAAGAACTGTTGCTGGATCTATAGATATGAGTAAAGAGAATGAGATTTTTTTTCTCATTGGAAAAAAAACAAGACAGCAGTGCTTGTTTCGTGCACACTGTGCTCACCACTGCTCTGGCTTCTGGTGAGAGAGGTGACATTTTGGTCCCAGACAGTCACTACACCCCTCAGCATGGACACTTGCTGTTAACTATTGCAACTCATGATATTAGCAGTATTGTGAGTGCAGATGCTCCTGTGCAGACTGCTCCTCTCTGCAGAAACGTTTGCAGAGTCCACACAAGAAATGAGAATAAACAGGCCAATCGGGAGGATCTTTATCAAACCTGTTCCCACTTTTCCTGTGCTCTGAGGCTTTGTTTGCTCTAACAAATCGTGTAACTAAGGAGTCTGAGTCACAGTCACTAGTTCCAGCTGCCTGCCTCATCCCTGTTCTGGAGATCCCTCCCCAGCTGCAGGGACAGTTGAAAGGGTCATGCATTTGCTCCAGCATTACTGCATTTCACAACCTGCTATCAGCTTGTACCTGTGGTGACTCAGAGCCCTAAAGCAGTGCTGCAGCTGGGAGTGTCCTGTAGGACAGTCTTGGTTGGGAGAGGGTCATGACATTCCTCCTTCTCCACAGTGCTGGCTGTGCTGCTGCCCTCAGAGCGATGCTCAGCATGAGGCTGGCACCCCATGCACCCCCTGCCAATGGCCACCTTACTGAGGGACAGGGCCCAAGACTGGCACTCTCTAGGATTAACTGGGAGGTAGCAACGATCCTTTATTCATGTCCTGAATTCTTGCATTGTAAAGGGAGAATTCTGCACAGGCTCAGAGGTGGCTGGGAAACAGAAATTTTGCATACCAAAGGGGCCTTTGAGCTACTTCATTCAATATGTTGTTATTTTCATGCAATAGAGAGTAAATAAATGAATTAAATGAGATTAGCATTAGACATTGGAGTTGCCTTTACTACTTGCAATGCAGGTACAACTAAAACTGAGTTTGCTCAGTTGTAGGATGAGAAGAAGAACCCAGAGTCTACTGCTGGTTACTAAGTGGTCATGAGCTTCTGAAGCTTTGTTTTGTGTCACTGCACTGAGATCAGCTGTGCTCTGTGGATATGCAGGAGTTTTTAATGCTGGACTCTGGCTGACAAGATCTGCAATGTCCATGCCTCTCCCCTTCTCCTCCCAGTAGAGGTTTGGGTAGTCCAGGTCTCCTATGTGTCAGCAGTGACAATAAATGTATAATATACAAGCACTCTGTTTAGGAGTTGGCAGGAAGCTTCATTTCTGACTGCAGTGAGATGTTCTAACAGTAGGAAACACCTTTGGTTGGAGCAGTTCTCTGCTAAACTCTGCCCTAGAGGGGAATGCAACTATGGAGAAGAGCCCTTGCTTCACAGTGGTGAGAAGTAAATTGATGTAATCTGGGTGGGAAAAACCTCATGTTTGAGCTGCTGTTCAAGAAATACCTTTATGCAGCATACAGCCTCTGTTAAACTGAGAATTGCTGGTATTGCTTATGGTTGAGATGCTGGGAGATTCAGCCAGAGTTCAGCTTGCTCTAATGCTGTGCACAGCGTGATCTTCTGGAGAGGGGGGAGCTCCAAATTCCTGGAGCTCTGGCCCAGGGTGCTTCAAGTGTGGTAGTTAACTGTGGGTTGGCCTGTTCATGCTGGCAGTGGTCTGTTCAGACTGGTTCAGCAAATGCTCCTGACTGAGCACAGCCCAGGTCAGTAGGCAAACAGTTGCTTACATTTAACTTCTTCATTGAATTGACAAGATTTAAAAATCTTCAGCCTACAGCAGTCAAAACAAGGTGATCTGAATACAAAAGATCTATTATTTCAGTGTGAAAGGGGTTTGGTTACAGAGTTGTGGGGATAAGTATGCAGGTGGGAATGATGGGAACACTGTCCTGGGCCTAAGCCCAGCAGATGTTCAGGAAGAATGAACTATCTTCTTATACTCTGTCCTTTTCATGACAACCCATTCCATTTCTCAGGCCTGTGTCCACCTTCATGCTCTCTTTCATTCAACATTAAATATTATAGGTCTTTTTCATTTGGCCTTTTATCTTTTAAGGCTGATAATCAATAGTATTCTCACTTATAAAATGTAAGATTTCTATCTCCAGAAACACAGCTGGAGACATGCAGCCATCAATGTGATAAAAGCTATGCACATGTTTCACTTTACCATCAGGGTCCAAAAACCCATGTTAAATCCCTGCCAGGCTGCAGGGTTATTTCTGTACTGGTTTTTGGTGGGTTTGGGCTTTCTTTGTTTGTTTTCACTGGGGCAGCATCACCACTTGTAGAAAGGAACCTGTTCTTAGCATCTACCCTGAGAGTGCTCCACGATAATCCTGCTGGAGCTGATTAGAGGAGGTCCATGGGAAGGAGATGCACTGCAGAGGATACAACCAGCTTGTCAAACCTAGGGTGGCTGTGCTGTGTGCCTTTCCCTGACATGGAAAAGATGATGTTGCTTTTTTCTTTGGGCAGGGGGGGTGGAATTACAGACCTTAAGTTTTGTGATGCGCATACAAGCTGCAGTTCACCATGAATCAACTTGATCTCCAGTCTCCCAGAATGGAGATTAAATGATCACTGAAGCATCATTATAAATAGGAGAGGGTACACAGTGTCGTCTTCTTCCACCTTGCACCAAAGTATCCAGCCTGGTCCAATGCTGTAACATCTCTAGAAGATCTTTTCAAAGGCTTGGGAAGTGGGCCAGGGAAATGGGGACAACACAGTGGATCAGGTTTGAAGTGTTTCTTTGCTGTACTGTGTTGGGAATGAGACCAAAAGCTCTGGCACCAGGCTGTTCTTGTCAGAGAGGCATTTCTGCATGGTGATGATTTTTCATTGCCTGAATTTCTGGGCAGAAGGAAGCTGGTGCAGACATCCTGGGATCTGCTGGTTTTGGATACATGTGAACTGGTCCCCCTGAAGCTCAGTGCTCTTGGGAGCCATGAACACAAGTGGCCAGGGAGCATCAGTGAGAAACTTGCAGAGTCCTGTTCTGCTTCTGTCACAGTTCACCAGCTGTGGGAGATGGGTGGAGGGGAGGTTGTTCTAGCAGTTACACATTTAAGGCAGGTGGCTGTATTAAAATGTACGTTTCAATTTTGATTGCAGTATTTTAATTGCATTTAACAGCGTCCCTGCTGGTTCTCCATTCTGCATCCGTGCAGCCACGTTCTATTGATGGCCTGTTGTGATTTCAATGGAACATCATGGGATGTACCTGGCACGTCGGGCAGCACTGGATGGAGGTGCCTTTAGCCCAATGTACCTGGCATGGTAAGCGGCAACCAAGTGGTTAAATCTGCATTCTACTGCTCACAGTTTCAGCTTGTATAGCAGGGTGTTCCTGCTTTGCTGCAGCCTTGCACTGACTGGAAATCACTTTGCTCTCCTGATTTTAGTGCTTTCATGCACACAGAGCTCCTTCCCTTTTCACCCACGGAGATTCCCCTTCCCTGGGAAGTTTGCCATGCAGTAGAGAAGGGCCTAGCCATGTCAGGCTCTCCTTGTTCTTCTAGAACATGAGAGAAGGGACTGGGAAATCATCTCACTCTTTTTTTCCTCTCCTTTTTGGGCCAGGAGCTGATAGCAGTTGAGCAGGTATTGCCCATGTCCCAGATATCCAAACGTTGCCGCACAGAGGTACCAGACAGGTGCTCATGTCCCTAAGCAAAGCTGGGCCATTTCTGCAGGAGTCCTGCAAGAGCTGCCTCGGGGAGCCAGGAGGGCAGTTCTGCCTGGCACTAATTGGAATGTAACAAATTAAACAAGGGCCACTTTCGGTTTGCTGATGTGGTATCCTCTGCAAAATGATCCTCCATCCTCCATTTTCCTTCGCTTTTCCATGCCCACACCTGCAAAATCAGCTGCAAATCCTGATCTGTCCTGCATGTTTTCTCTCCCTCCCCCAGCTCTGCAGACCTCTGCCTGAGTAACTTCACATGTTGGTCTTAGCTATTTTAAAGTGCTAAATATTTGTGTGAGAAAAACAAGGGTGCTGCATCCTGTTTTCTGCTTGAGCCTTCTTCACAGAGCTTTTGCTGCTCCACTGCCAGTGATGAAAATGCATGTTTGTGCCTCAGCTTCTGAATTCTGCTATCTGACTGCTCCAAGGGGCTGGGGATAGGGAACCATTTGGAATAACGCAGTTCCAGCACTTCTCCCCGTGCTTTTGCTGTTCTAGAATGTGAATATATTTAAAAGTCATGGGCTAATGACCTGCCAAGTGCAACTCCTGGGGGCAGGTTAGTGGCTGTGAACCACCCACTGCACTGACACCTCTGAGGGTCCTGGTTCTGTTGGGATGTGGGGAAAGGAAGATCAGATCAGCCAGTGGGGAACAGGAAAGCTCTCTTCCCAGTGGGGTCATCAAGTGCTCAAAAAAAAGTTGGTTCATCTGAAGCTGAAGGGTGCAGAAGTCATCTGTTTCAGTTTCACTCAGTTCCAGTAGCAGCTGGACACAGCATTTTTAATGTCACATTGGTGGGAGAGAGCTATGTAGGAAACAGTGGATTTCGTTTTGTCTTGTTCTTCCCCATGCTCACTGCTGCAGTGTCTGCTCAGTGCAGCCCAACTGCTTGGGAAGGTGGAGCAATAAGTAAGCAGGCCACTGTCTTTTCCTGGGTCTGTTATAACATGCACAGTAGGCTGATGTTTTAACAGCATCTAATTTGATACATCACATCTAATCTGTTTGTTGGTTTTTATCTGCAGTACTGTTAACTCACTGTTCAGGTGCTTGGTGTCTAGCCTTCTCATCCAGCCACAAATCCTCTACGTGAAATGAGTGATTCCTTAGATCTGTTTATGATTGATTCTTTGCTTCACTGGTGTTGCTTCTTAAAAGGTAAACAATATTCATGTGCTGCAATCTATAACTCAGAGATGAAATCAAAGAGCATCTCCTGCCAGAAGTTGCTAAGATAACACATTTAGCATTCATTCAGCAATTACTTTTGGATAGAGATTTAGTGATATTAAAGAGAATCAAACCTGTAGTGAATATGTAGATTTTATACTGGTGAAAGAGGTGAAGGGATTTCTCTTCTCCTCTGTTTAGCAATTTCATTTTCTGTGGTGTCCAGAGTCTTTGTGCAAATTGAGAGCAAATGAAGTTTTTTCCTGCTGTAGTGAGAGCAGCACAGCTGCAGGAGCAGCCTGTGTGTTTGCAGAGCCCCTGGGGTCAGGGTGTGCCCCAGGCTGGGCACAGCAGCTCGCAGGTCCCAGCTCCTGGGGCAGTGTTGGGTATGAAGGTGCTGTCGGCTCTTAGCTTGCAAAGCTTTGTTTGATGTGTGGCATCTGCTTGCAGCATTACTGTATTCTGTGATTTGTGCCCTGTACTTCTCATGTCTTTGCATGTGCTGTGTCTCAGTGTCATGGATATGGTGGAGGTAGTGGAGAGTCTTAGCCTTGTTTCATTCCCTTCTAGCATGGGAGTATTTGAGCAGGTTCACTGCTCTGAAAAAAGTGTCTTGAATGTGAGAAACCCAAGCTGAATCTGGGAAAAGACCATCACTGCTGCCATTTGTCCAGAGCCTTCTGTAGTCCTCTTTTAACTACAAATGGGTGAAATTTTGCACACCACATTCAGTGTTTAAAGACTGTGGCCCCAGTGGACATTTATGTATTCTTGAGGTCTGGGGAGTTGGGTTTTTTACTAGAAATGCACCTGAGCCTTTTCTGAACCAGGGCTCCTCTGAACTGGGAGTGTGGTTTTTTTTGGTGTTTTGTTTTTTTTTTTTCTTTCCAGAAAACAGAAAAGGAAGGGTTATTAAAAATGATACTGAAATACAAGAAGTATAAACCCACTGGGATGATTTTTTAGGGCTTTGGAGGGTTGTGGTGATGTTAGTCAAATGTTACGGTTTGTTAAGAGACACTCCCTGCAAACGAATGGATAGCAAGGCCTTTCTGAGGCTGCACCTGCCATTTCTTTGAGCAAATAACTTTTAAACAGGATTTAAACTCGCAGTTGTCCTAGGTCCCATGCTTTCAGCTAGAAGTGAGATTCTAGGAATGCCATAAGTTAAGAAATAATTCCTGCTTCTCTTTTGCTAACAACTTTTCCAACACACCTTTCCTCCTCCACCTCTGAAATGCATCATGGTCAAAGAAGGGTTTGTAACTAGACACCTCTCTGAAATATCTGGACTGGATTTATTTTTGTTGAGGACTGCACAAGATACACAAGGCAGGCTGCTACAAGGCTTTTGTCAACAAAGGGACATCAGCCAAAGGAGAGTTCTCTGAGCCATACTCCTGTCCTGGGCAAAGCCCTTGGTGGGCAATTCTGACAATGTTTTAAACACACTGCTCTAAGCTTGGTTGAAGGTTTTGCTGCCTTGATTCATTACATTCATTTTTTTGGGGGTTGTTAAATCCGCATTAGACTTCAGCTAACAAATTCAAATTTGATAGGCATGGTTATACTGCTTACACCAGACCACTGCATTTGAAATCTACAGAAAGTAATAGCCTACCTTATACATATGTCCTACTGAACATGAGCAGTCCTGTAAAATTTGACACATGAGATAAATAGAGGTAATTTAAACAACTTGTACTATGCTAGTTTTTATGCAGCAGAACATACTCAGTAATAATATTATCTTTCTCATGAAGGTCAGTAGCAGAATTAGAATTCTGACTCTCTTTCCAGGGCTTTCTCTGTTGGCTCATTACTTGGTTTCAATATCATTTAAGGGAGAAAGGGAAAAAAAAAAGTAAAACAAAAAAAAGTAAAACACTAAAAATATTCTGCATTAATAGCTGTTTTAAGCCTTAAGGCTTAGACAACTTGAATCCAGTGATTTCTAGACCTCTGCTCTTAGTGCTACATCAATGGGAAATAAGCCTACTTAAACTTCAGTAATATTATTATTACGACTACTTTGTTTAGGCAGAAAATATTGGCTGTACTGTTTCCCTTCCTTTCCCATATTTGTCCTTTATGGAACACTTAAAAATCATACCCAGGGATTTTGTGTGTTACATGCATGGCAAAGCACCATGATGTTTGCAGTGAAATCGTAGTGCTAGGCTGTTTCCTGCTATCTGTAGTACTAGGCTGTATCTTGCTGTAAATGCAGGATGCATTTATATAGCAAGATGCTGTTAAGTTGCAAGCCATGTTTTTGTCCTCCCCTATCGATGTATCTCAGTGACCCAGAAGTAAAGGCTCTTACTGGCCTGGCTAGATAAAAGTGGGTATTTTGTGCCTCTGTGCTGCTGCTTCTTCCCCTTAATCAGCAATTCTGGAAGCAATCCACAAGAACCAGACATGCTGCATCCTTTATCCTGCAACTCTGATCAGACTAATTACATCAAAACTTGGTTTTTAAATGCTCAGCACTGCTCAGGGGAGGACAGGAGCTCCTGTCCTATCACATTTTTCTGATTCTGCAGGGTGAGTTTCTATTACAGAAATACTGTGGGTGGAACTAGCACCATGGCAAGCCTGTACTTCCTCCTTTTGGCTGCCACCCTTTCTAAAGGCATCGAGCTCTGGGAACATCCATGCACAGAGGCACCGCGGTGAATCCACCATGTTCTTGAGTTGCCATCCATTGCTGAAACAAAATCAAATGGGGAAGCAGAGCAGCCTTTGTAGCTGTGGGTCAGGGTGATGAGCCAGAGGGATCTGTGGGGTTGCTAAATTAGGTGCTGCTGCACTGAAGAGCCACCAAGAAATTCCACCAAAAGCATAAGCAAGCACCAGGCTGACCAGCAAACAAGCAAAGAGCTGTGTCGTGTGGAAAATAGGAGGCACCTGCTTGGCAGATCTGTTAGGAAAAGTACCAGGGTAGTCAAGCAACAATGCTGGAGGAAATACTTCATTTTTTATCTTTTTGGTAGCCTTTTTCATAAAGCAAAACATCTCTGTTGTGCAGAAATGGATGATGTAAATTTACCACCTTTCTGCCAAATGCAGTCTTTCTATTTATCATCACATAGTAAGGATCAGGTTTGAGGGAAGCAATTTTTTATACTAAATGCATCACTCCTTATTTCTTTTTGTTGTGTACCTATACTTGGCACAGTGGGAACATAATGCAGTCTGATCCTTCATCATTTGAACTCTGATGGGACAGAGTGTGGTAATGGAACACACAAACAATAAAAAAATTAACTGATGATGTTTTTAAGAGAGAGCTTAAGCTCTTAATTTCTCTATTTATGGCTTGCTTCTCCTTCAATAAGAGAAATGTTTCAATAATATGATGAACTGGGAAAGGAAGAAAGGAAGTAGAAGGCTAAATGGTGGTTGTTGTTAATTTGGTATTTAATTCCTCCTTTTAAACCTCAGAAACTATTTTAAATTAACTGTAATGGATAAATGCAAGTAGTAGTTGGCACTTTCAAACAAACGCACACGCACCAAAAAGCCTTCCAAAAAACAAGGGGAAAAAAAATTGATCTTGGGTTCCCAAATGCAGTCCCAGATTGAATTCTGGGTTTGATTGTAATATCTACCTAACGTGCAACTGCAGTTAGTTCTGACATATCTCAATGTGGCTGTTTCCTACAGTCCATACTACTGGGAAGGCCAATATAAACATCTAAACTAAAATACATCATGACTACTGTTTGTGAAATGCATTAACTATATGCAGGTAACCACAATTTTCCTCTCTTTACAGTATTTCAGGATAGAGAAACTGTGACTTGAGATATGCTACTTAACTCTATTATTTTAAACAAAATTATTCATAAATTAAAGACAGAACAAAATTAACTTGAGAAAAATGTTTCAGATTTATGAAGACATTTGGTGACATTTAGCTAGCTCAGCATCCTGAATTTCAGCCAGTTGAGGGTTGATTCTAACCCTACGTGTTAATGGATTGGGATATGGACATAGCCAGGGAAGTGGTTTTTAAAGCAGCTTCTTATTCTCTTAAGGAGGCTTCCCATTCACACCTCAGTGTGGGTAATTCCATCTTCAATGGATTTAGTTGCTACATGTCATTTTCTCAACCCCAGAGCAGCTGGGTGTTACAAGATTTCAACATGTAATGGCCAAGAAACAAACTCCACATTAAAGCAGGGAAGCTGCAGTTTATGCTAATTATTTTACATGCTCAGATATGCAAATGACAGTGAAGTAGATGCTTCTCTTTTCTTCCTCTTTTTCTCACTTCTCATACTCCCTTCAAGTCTGTGTCACGAGAAAAGAGCTTTCCTCTGTACCTAACTATTGTTTTCATGCTGGTATCTTTTGAATAGTGATTCCAGCCAATGACAATTACTTTTGTAAAAAGATAATTACAAATCTGATTTTTGAAAGACTTGAATCAAGTCTTAGCATGAGAAATATTTCTCTCTGTATTCCCAGCAGGATCACAGCTTGCAGGGCTCAATGTACTTAGATCTCCCAAGTCAGTGTCAAGCCTAACATAGTCTGCACTGTGTTAAACCAGTCTATGAAATGTAACCTGCTCTAGTGGAGACAGCACGCTCACACCTCTCATCCTCGTGTTTTTCAGGTGGTAGGGTGAAGGTGAGAGGACGAGAAGGTGGAGATGGAACTGCCAAATCATGCCAAACAACTGCTACTGCAGCTGAACCAGCAACGAGCCAAAGGTTTCCTCTGTGATGTGATCATTGTGGTAGAAAATGCCCTGTTTCGTGCCCATAAGAACATCCTGGCAGCCAGCAGCATGTATTTCAAATCCCTTGTCCTGCATGACAACCTGATAAACTTAGACACGGACATGGTGAACCCCACCGTGTTCCGGCAGATCTTGGACTTTATTTATACTGGCAAGCTCTTAACGACTGACCAGCCTGGTGAACAGAACTTTAATGCTCTCCTCACCGCAGCAAGCTACCTCCAACTGCACGACCTGGCAGCTCTCTGCAGAAAGAAGCTGAAGCGGAACGGCAAGTCCTTTGCTGGCAAGGCCGGTGGCCTTGGTGTTGGGAGATCTGCCAGGAGTCAGAGACTTTCCACTGCTTCAGTCATCCAAGCTCGCTATTCAGGGTCAAATGAGGGGTTGAAGGGCTCGCACTCAAAGGAGCTGTCAAAGGGAAAGCTCTCTGATGACGAGGTCTTCATCAGCAGCTCCAACCAAGAGAACTGTCACTCCTTAAGCAGGGGAACCAGCAAGAACGGCGGTGGGAGCAGCAGTGCGAACGGGAGCACCGGTGACCAGGAACTAGGCCTTGACCTGTCCAAAAAAAGCCCCTCGCTCCCTGCCGCAGCCTCCCACGATGACACGCAGCACAGCGAAAGCCAGCACGGCTCTCCCCAATCTGCCTCAGCCCCTGCAGCCAACAGTGCCTCATCGTTCGACGAGCCTGGCGTCGGAGCCCCCCACAGCATGGCGGACAGCAGCGACCCCATGGAGATGGATCTGAGTGAGGAGTGCCACCACTCACTGACAGAGAGCAGCCAGCGCAAGGGCCTCCGGCACTCGTCCCGCAAGAAGGAGTGGATCAAGAAAGACAACGCCTTTGACCGAAAAGAAGGGGGCAAAGACAGGGACGAGGGTGAAGGGCTGCCCAATGGTATCCTGCTGGGGCCCTTGTCCAAGTCTGTGGAGAGGAGTCTGGCTGGGGCCTACGGGGCAGACCTGCCCTACCCGTGTAAGGAGGAGGTAGAAAACGGTAAGGAGAACAGTGATGACAGTGGCCAGAGTGAGAGCGAGAGCGGCGGCCATACCAGTGCCAACTACGTCTACCGGCAGGAGGGGTTTGAGCCAGTGGCCTATGGTGACAACCTGTATGTCTGCATTCCCTGTGGCAAAGGCTTCCCGAGCTCTGAGCAGCTCAATGCCCACGTGGAAACGCACACCGAGGAAGACCTTTACATCAAGGAGGAAGGCACGTACGGCAGCAAGGATGAAGCTGAGGATTTGTCCAACCCCAATCAGTCCTACGCTGCGGAGTCCCGGCCCTTCAAGTGTTCAGTGTGTGAGAAGAGCTACAAGGATCCGGCCACGCTGCGGCAGCACGAGAAGACTCACTGGCTGACGCGGCCCTTCCCTTGCAACATCTGCGGCAAGATGTTCACACAGCGTGGCACCATGACACGGCACATGCGCAGCCACCTGGGGCTCAAGCCCTTTGCTTGCGAGGAATGTGGGATGCGCTTTACCCGGCAGTACCGACTAACAGAGCATATGCGTGTCCACTCAGGAGAAAAACCTTACGAATGTCAACTGTGTGGTGGGAAATTCACCCAGCAGCGCAATCTGATCAGCCACCTGCGAATGCATACCTCTCCCACATAAGCCAAAGACTCCAGAATGAGCTTCAAGCCCATCCGCAGTGATTTACCTTTCTGTAGACTTGCTGCTTAAAAAAAAAAGAAAAAAGAAAAAAAAAAAAGGGGGCAACTCCCCATACTCTGTTCAGTCATGAGAGGCCTAAACAAATGTAGCTTTAACATTTAAAAAAAAAAAGTTCATTTTTTTCCTTTTTTTAAGAAAAGAAAGGTCCACAGCCAAGCTGATGCATTTAGTCCCAGTCTCCCTTCAAATTTTGATGACCTGGCAAGAAATGCCTCTTCTTTTTGCACACATCGACTTCATTGCCATATTGTTTATCTGGAGCAGGTAGGGGGACCTTGGGGAACTTTGTCTCTGCTGGCTCCCCCTGCCTGCCTCTTTCTGTGTTCCTGTCACTGTACTCATCTCCTCTCTTAAAACCAAACTCAGTAGGGGCATTTCTTGCCATTAAAAAAAAAAAACCAACAACAAAATACACCTTTTCAGTGGCCTAAGTAGCTGTGAAATAACAGCATTCTCAAGTGCAGAAGCTGAGTCTGTGGACCATCTCACGGGGTTGGCAGTCCCTCCAGAGACTGTGGGAAAGCCACAGCAGTGGTGGAGCCCACCCCTGTCCCCCTGGGCTGGCGATGGTGAGGAGCAGCTCTCAGGGCTGCACCAGTCCCAGTACTTCATTTAACAAATGGCAAAGCCTCCCTTACCATCTCTCCCCATTTTGGTTTTGATCTTTGTCCTTGGCACACATAACCACGTGCCAGCTCCTCCCATAAAACATGCAAACCTCTTTTGCCTTACCCATGACTGAACAGGGACTGGATGCCCTGGGAATTTCTTTCAGTGAGCAGGGGGTCGTCTTTACTTTTCTAGTAGTTTCGTATGAATATTCTTTGCTTAGAGGTACTTGTTTTATTAAAGGAAAAACCATTGTAACGTTTATGTGAATGTTTGAACTGGAAGGTCTGAGGTTAATTCTAGGGTGGGTGGGTGGGGAGGGGGTTTGATGTAGGCTGGACTTGCTACAAGTTCCATAGGTACTTTTTTATTATTTTTTTATTTTATTTTTTGTGTGTGTGTATGTTTTTAGCTTTCCTCCCTCACTAAAGAGCAAGTCTGTGTGGACAGACTTGTTACCTTTGCTACCTCTTGAATTCATGAGAACAATAAGATGGTTAGTGAAAGATTAGGCATTTTTTTTAATTGTAAGTAATTAAATGTATAAAAGTAGAAGCTAAATTAAAGTTAAGGGATTTTTACCACCCCGTCCTTCCATCAAAAGTCAACTAGAGAAATGTTAAAGCAAAGCTTGGCCAAAGACAAAGCAAAAAATACACTGAGCTAGAGGCTGTGCTGGCTGCTTGGACTGGCTCAATTCGCAGTCTCTTGGCTGTCTGTAGTCACTTTTATCTAAAAGCAGAAAACTTCTCTGAGCTTTTTGGGCCCTTTCCAGCTTTGTTTATTGAGTCTGGATACTATGGGGAGGGGAAAATGTCCCCCTCATCTTCCACTCCCCCAGCACATCTGGGTCAGTCTGTAAACACCTGGCAGGACAGAGGGTGAGGGCATAGCAGCCTATAATTTACTAGAATCCAGAGTGCAATAAGGTGGGGGAGAGGAGGAGAAAGCAAACCAAAGTGTTTCATATCCTCCCTTTTAGACAATTTAACACACGCACACAAAAAAAAAAAAAAAAGAAAAAATGAAAAGAAAAAGAAACAAAATGTTCTTGCAACATCTGCCTAAGACATCACAGCCAACAGCTGCTATTGGTTTAGGAGAGAAGACAGAGAACTTTGCCCACTGATTCTTGGCCCCCTTGACTTTGTTGGCGTGACCTTGTGGAAAGCTATGGCTTATTTCAAGCCTCCCGTGACTGTGGTGGTAAAAATTCACAGCCAGTAGAATCATCCCTTCTGAAATGACTAAGGTTTACACTTGCATTTTTTCATTTGTTGGTTTTTGGTGTTTTGTTTGGTTTTTTTTTTCCACTCAAACCAGTATAGTCTCTATGCGTAAGTTTTACCAAACCTCACGTTTTGTCTTTTTTTTTTAAAAAAAAAAGAAACAAAACGAACAATTTTTTAAAGTTTTGACCAAAAAAGAAAAAAAAAAGAAAAAAGTGAGCATGTTTGACTAAAACAAAGAAATATAAGCTTCATTTTCTATTGGGGTTTTTTTGGCTTGGTTTTTTTGTTTTGTTTTGTTTTGTTTCGTTTTTTGTTATTTGGGTTTTTTTTAAGGTAGACTAGTCCATGAGAAGTTTTTGGGTCAATTGACTGAACTGAGGAAACTGGAATCCAGGCTCCAAGCAATAGACAACCCAAAGGCGCTGAGCCTTGGCCTGGTGTCACGTTACAGGGAACACTCGCCCCTCTCGGCCGCTCCCGTGGCTTCTCCCGGTGCCATTGTCCGCTCGCTCCCGGACGCCTGCGAGCCCCGGGGCGCCGAGGGGCGCATGGACTTTTGCTTTTGGCGATTTGTGCTCAGACGCGCTGTTTATTTTTCGGGGGTTAAGTGGGCTTCTAGCGTCTTTAGCACTTCCACATTTTTGAATATAATATTGAATTATTTTCTCTTTGATTCTTTGTCAACCCCGCCCCTCGAGAATGTCCCCAAAATAGTCTTTGGGAAGGACAGGGAAGGCCGTGCCATCTACCTTGCTCTGAGAGGGAGTGTGAGCAGAGCGCGGGGACAGCTGTGCAAGATGAGTTCTGGGCGCTGTCACCCTGCCTTCGCAGCCACCCAGGGCGGAGCTGCCCCCGCTCCGGCTCCCCGGGAGCCCATTCCAAAGCCGGGTTTAGCTCCCTGTCCCTGCAGTGGCGCTGGGGACAGCAGCTGGAGCTGCCGGAGTCACCCTGGGACAGCGGCATTCACGGGGACCGAGGCGGCCGAGCCCGGGAGCAGCCCAGGCACGGAGCCCCTCAGCCGGCAAAGCCCTGCTCCCCTCTCTTAATTCCATTTCTACATGTGTGTGGGTGATGTAGCTTCTCCCCCTGCCCCGGGCCCCTTTCATTTGTTTCTTAAGCCTTGAGAATTATGTTGAACTTTCAGGACCCAATGCTATTTTTTTAAAACTATTTTTTGGAGCATCTTTTTTTTTTTTTTTTTAATCCCCTCCCCAGCACTTAAACAGTACGACATAAAGTCTGTGTACAGCAAGAGTATTGTACAAAAGGAAATTATGTTCTTTTTTCAAATAGCTGTGTAAAGTTGTGTTCCATAGATTGAGTATAAACAACGTTTTCCAAATTGTGACAGTAATAATTAATAACTAATAATACTCAAAACTTCAGGGACTGTTTCAGGCCTGCTTGGGGCCTAAACACTCAACTGCATTTGTACGACATAGTATTGTATCAACATTTTTCTGTATTTTAATGAGAAAGCAAAACACTAGTTTCATATTTAAGATTTTAAGAATTTTAGGGTGGGGGGGAGGGAGCTGTGATTTTGTTTTTTTTAAATTTTATTTTGAATTTTTTTTTAAATACACAAAGAGCCTCAAGAGGAAAAAACCAATTTAAAAGGAAACAAAAAAAAAAAAAGAAAAAAAAAAAAGAGGCCAGGCAGCTTAAGTATATGCTTTAGTCACTTAGTTCCAGAATGTTTTCGGAATAACAGGAAAAAAAGATAAAATAGCAAAAGTTGTATAAAAGAATAAGAAGCTCATACCCAAATTCACAAAACTATTTTTTAAACCAAAGCACATTTGAATGAGTATGGAACCTCACTTGGCTCAGAAAAGTACTAATATATTTATCTCATTGTTTACATAAACTTTTACAGTTTCAGACCTCAACAGATCTAGGGGCCAGTCAAAATTAATCTTTGCTTTTTCCATTGGTTTGTCTCTGAAGGCTAGGCAGTGTTCCCCAGCTTGGGAGGGGGAATCTGTGTCCCAGCCTGCATTCCAGCCCTGCTCTGGGAGGGTGGGGAGAGGGTGGGCAATTAGAAATATGGCATGTAGAATTTTTTTTTCTTCAATCCATGAGAGATGTTGCTGGGAGTGAGACCCAGGCACTATTGTAGGGGCATTTAAGCCTCCCTCTTTCTCAGAGGAGTCTGAGGGAACCAAGAGGGCAAAGGGCGATGCAGGAAGCTCTGGAGATAAGGAAGGATGTTAGAAGATGTTGGGAGCTGCTGTACCCAGCACATCTCCTGAACTTTAGCCACGGGGAGCTGGGCTGTTTTCCAGTCCATTACTGCAAAACTTCCAAAAACAAATTCCTGACAAAAAACTCCCCAAAGGCCCAGCTCTGTGCACTTGGGGCTGTTAGCAGGAGCCCCAAAGCTGACAGAAGACACCAAAGAGCTATTGGCACGCAGCTTCTGTGAGGCTTTGCGGGGCAGAGCTGTGGCCCTGCCCTCGGGCACCCAGCAGCTCCAGCCTGGGCTGGCACCGAGCCTGGGGCTCCTCTGGGCCCCTTAAGGGAACCTGGATTGATTCACTCCAGACCCTACAGTCCTGCTCAAAGAGCCCGACCAAAACTCCTGAGGCTGCCTAGGTGGAAACCTAAGTCCGCCTGCATGGTAGAACAGTTTAAAGAAGACCAATGAGGATGGTTTGCTAAAATAACGCTGAAGCCAAAAATAAAAAGGTTTAAGAAAGCTCCCCATCATTAGTCTTGACCCTTTGTAGCTTTTATCTTCTACACCAAAGCCACCTCAAACATTTGAGGGGGGGCTGATGGAAAATGAAATATTAATTTTGCCTGGTCTTAATATCTAACAAAGATGGTGCAAACACTATTTGACAGTGTTGTTTTTGTATCAATATGTATGTGCAGTAATGAATGTATTTATTTCTCAGATTCTGTATGCACAGTTTTGCAATGTAATTCAGAAAGTTGCAAACACAAAGATGTGTCCGCAGGGTCTTCTCTACAGGATTTCAAAAAAATGAAAAAAATATATTAAAAAAAAAAAGAAAAAAAAAAGAAAAAAGGAATCTCAGAGACTCAGCATAGCCATAAACCATAACCTGTGAAGACAATACAAAGACTGGACTTTTGTAGCTTTGCATAGAAGAGGAATTTATGTTTTGCTGTATTTAAATGTTTCAATTTACAATGTCACTCTTTTAAGATTCCTGTTTTGGTTTTTGTTTTTGTTTTCCTCTCTCTCTTGTGTGTGGAAAGCATTGTTTTCAAGCAGTGCAGGTTCAAAGTCTGGGTTAGCAGTATTTTACCATGTTGCTTCAGTTCTGAAAAGCAGGAATATGGGTCTTGACCAGAGAAACATCCAGTACACTTAATGAAACAAAACGAAATTTGAGGTGACTGCTGGCAAAATCCAGAGAAGGTCAAAGTCACTTGAGGAATAGCTGTGTGCTTCTGATGGCAGCTTGTGGCTGAGACAAGGCTCTTGTCCTGCCTGAAGGACAGGATGTAGCTCCTTTGTAGTGTCCCTCGTCCCTCACGTACTGTTTACTGTGGTAGCAATAAGGACGTCAGCAGTGGGG